CCGGGGAGCGGCACGCGCCGCCCCGCCCCGCCCCGCCACGCGCGCCCCGGCGGTGGCGCTAGCCGCCGTGCCGGTGGCCGAGCCCGGATAGCCCTCCTCCTGCTCCTCGTACTTCTCCTCCTCCTCCTCCTCCTCCTCCCGCAGCCGTGCAACGCCAATGTGTCACTCGCACACATTCTTGCGATTCTCCGCCTGATGCGGGTCGAACCGCGCGCAGAACAAGCGCAGCGCCGGATCCCTCCCTTCAGCCGTTTGAGAGGCAATGGCATAAAAGGGGAACCGGCGGGAACCAGGAGCGGAGCGAGAACGCACGAGCTGCGCAGAGAATAGGAGAAACGGGGTTGGTCCTAGTTCGCGCAATGAATACAACAACAACAAAAACCAAAGTGGAAACAATTAATGCCATCACATAGTCTACAAGTACGACATATAGCAACAAAAAAGGCACGGATATAACGTATGAGACGTTGTAAAAATGTTTAGAACAAGCCTCCAAACTTGATGAAAATTTAATCCACATTTGACCGAATTTTTGACAAAATATAGTGAGATATGGTCAAAATTTAGTTCAAAGTTTTGATTAACTTTGGTTATGGCACATAGTTTAACATTATTATTCAAAATGTGCTTAAACTTTGGTCGGAATTTGGGTCAGATTTGTTGAATTAAATTTTGTCTTTTAACATGTTCCTGCTTGCGGCTCATTTTTGGTGCCTATGATTTAACATGGAAGCGTGACGACATTTAGTGGCCATGCCGCAAGGAACGTGTTAAACTTTTCTCAAAAACGACTTTTTGTTTTGAATCTTATCAATGTTTCTGGCGACGTCATCTTTCGTGTTTAGCGCTGGTCACGGAGGAGGCCTGCAGCACGCACGCGCGCGGTGTACAGCAGAGGCCGGCGCCGGCGCTCGCCCCCGAGGCATTAATATCGAGTTACCGCGGCGGCGCGCTCGCGGCTCACGCGTGGCGCCTGGCGTGCTCTCGCTGTGCGCGTGCGCGTGCGCGCTCACTCATGAATACATAAACTAATTTCATCGATGAGCGCGGACACCGTGCAGCGCCGCCGCCGCCGCCGGGGTAATCCGAGAAACGATTGTTTTGTCTGCTGCCCCACTCACTCACACAACACTCGGCCACGCCGCTGCTGCTGCTGCCGCGGCGGCTGTCCCTCGTTCAATATGTTCATCACTCTAATCTTTTGCCCTCTCGATTGTTGTAGGTTTGTACTATAGCGACTGGAAATGAGAGCAAAGTTTGGACGCCGACCACACTGCAGATAGGGCAACGCATGTGATGATAATAATAATAATAATAAAAAGGCAATTCTTGAACCGCGATACGAGCGCCGTTCTACAGTGTATGTACTTCTGTCGGGCCGCGCCGCCGTGGTTCACTGTACACATGATAAGAGGAAGGAGAGGCAGAGGCGAGGAGGGCGGACAGGGCCAGGGCCAGGCCGTCGGCACCCGCGGAGACCGCGGAGACGCGGGCCGGGGGAGGGGAAGGGAGGGGAGGGCTTCTGGGTACAGTCCCTGCTGCTGTGCAGGTGGGAGGAGTGCAGGTGCGCGTGGAGGTGGACGTGGCGCTGACTGTGAGGAGGGCGGGGTAAGGAGAGCGGGTACAGTACGGGTCACGCGGCACGAGGTCGGGTCGGGTCGGGTTCACGGTCAAGGCTGCCGCCGTAGGGCTGGAGGGCATCAAGGTAGTGCCGGAGTACGGGGTCCCCCCACCACCAGCCCTACCCTGCTCACCTTCAGCAAAGGAGCCTCCAGCTCGTGGCCACTCCAGAGCAGGGGGCATCGACGCATCGGGTTCCCGACCTCGATAGACAAGAACAGGAACTACGACTAAGACAATATATGGGCGGCCACGAGCTCAGACGCTAGCCAGGACGCCGCACAGGTCAGGACGCCGCATAGGCCAGGACGCTGCATAGGCCAGGCCGGGTAAGCAGAACAGACAGTCCTGGACGCCTCACAGGTCAGGACGCCGCATAGGCCGATACGCTGCATGCTGCATAGGCCAGGCCAGGTAAGCAGA